AAAACTGCATAATTAGCAATTAATTAAAATTTTTGGAATGATAATAGACAGTCCACGAATTTATTCAACATAGCGTGCGAGATAACAAGTGTTGCCTAATTTTTATTATTTTTTATTACAACACAATCAATAATTAACTGTACCTTACGGCGGATTTAATTGTAATATTGTTCTTAGTATTAAGTAGTATATAAATTATGTACGACCAATTAGGTTTGTTCTGAAATTAACTATTAAACAATTACAAACTTTTTGAACAAATCTTGGCTGTGAACGGTACTCGAAGAGCCATCTTACGAGCCAAGGCCTGTACCCCAAAGTCCGCGCCCCCGATTTACCCCACGCCACCACTCCAACCAGGGCCCGAAAACCAAACAAGAAAAAATCGAAAGAGACAAACAAGCCAATTAGCGCGCCATCGCCTGCACCACTCCTCCCGAAATGAAGAGGCTGAGAGAGGGACTCGCCTCCTCGAGTATAAAAAGGGCAGTACAAGACCTAAAATCAGATTTGTCTCGTGCCACCAGCAAGGTGTAAGTCAAACAGCCAAACAGTCAAGAAGTAGAGCAAGTCAAACAGCCTAGTACTCAAGAATTCGAGCAGCCAAATAGCCAGTCAGCCAGTACAAAATAAGGTGTGCATATCCAGGAAAAATAAAAACTGTAATAAAAAAAGTAAACAATCAAACAAAACCTTTGAATTACCCTTTTCTCCACTATTTGAGTAATTCTTCCTTTTTCCGTATCTAGAGACTACTACTGATAAGCTCCGGGTACGACTTTGATAGGAAAAATCGGGTACTACTATTGATAGGACCCAGAGTACTTCTCGTTCTTGGATTGCTACAATTGATTAGAATCGAAGGGTAGGAGTATAGGTACAGTGGCACTATTCCCCCTCGGCTAAAAGAATTTTCGATATGCGACCCTAGTTAATTTTCGATAAGAGATCGCTAGTTTAGGCGAGAAATCGCACTTCTAGCGACAATGGAACCCTGAGACTATGCCAAGCTTCAGGTGCACCTGAGATGTGTCGTTGCCACGACGTCACATAATCATTTAAGTGACTACAACAATATAAAGCGTTTTGTTTAACAAAAAATTTTTTGTCATAAAATTATCTTCTGTGAAAATGAGGTGCCTTTCATTTATAAACAGATATTAATATATGGATCTCATTTTTCTAAAAATTAATTTTTTTGCACAGGAGGATTAGATAACCTTATCAACAACTTTTATGATAGCTTACTGCAAAAAAAGTTTTTAGCTATTTTGGATCAAAAATATGTATTTCATAGGCAAAACACCTTTTGCTTAATTATCATTTCTAATCATTAAGCAGAATACAGCCAGGTATTGATCTATTCACCTGATGATATAAATCATTTTGATTAATGCTTGTATGATGCATTACAATAAATTTAATCTCAACAAATAGAAAAATGTATTGTCCGAAAATCAAACACAATATAAAAATAAAGTATAAAAAATGAAGAAAGCATTGGGGTGGGTCTATCATGAACCATTTACTAACAGGTAAATGATTACTTAATTACATTTTATTGAATCAATTTTTTTGATAATCATAAAAATTAATTAAATTAAATTGAGTAGAGAATTTTACCTGTTTAAAACTTGAATATGAAATAAAGTACACTATCAAAAAAATAAAATTGAACAATTCTTTCATCTATTATGTGTTGAATAAAAATACTCCTTAAATACTCCTAAAAGCCCTGAATACATCTTCACAAAATGTTCCCATCATCTTTTTAATAACATTTCGCCAATAATTTTTAACGTTTTCAGATCTTTATGGAACAATATATACAGCAATATAAATTTCTACAATTTATTATTTTTCTTCTTTTATTTTATTTTTATATTATTTTTTATTTTTAATAAATTATTGTATAAGAATTTTGACAAATTACAAGTTATTGTTAAAATCTATAAATAGTTATTAACAAAATTAAAATTGGTTAATTACATTACTATAAAACCATCAGAATTCATAATAGCATGGAATTATTGGTTTTTCACTAAAATTTATTTAAAATCATTCAATAAAATATGAACAAGTAATTCATTTAATTTCATTAAAAACAATTCAATAAAATACGATCTAGCACTTCCACTATTCGCTATTTGTTTAAATTTTACAAACAATAAGTAGACAGTTTCACAGTATTTAAAACAAATAAAGAAATATCCAATAAAATTCAATATATTCTTTCTCGCAAAAATGATTCAAATGTATAAAAATCATTTAATAAAATTTCCATGTTCATGAAAATATATGAAATTTCAATTTTAAATAGTATTTATTAATATTCATTTGCAATGTAATAGGTTTGTATAATTTTAAATAGAAAAATATAAAAAATATAAAAAATAATATTAGATTAAGAATTTTTTTTTATTAAAACGATGGATGTATTATTTGGTTTCCCTTTAGATATTATTGAAATCTATTTATTATATTATAGTCAATGGATAATTGTGTGTGTATGTCAGAGCTTATACTACTCTTCTGTGTATAACTATGTATGTACCTTTGCTACAAGTCAAGTTAGTTGAGAACGTGCTATAATGTAATAAAAACGTATACTTGATCTCTCTCTGTATTATAAACTTAACTCCTGTCATTCTCAAATATTCTTAACTACATTATTAAAATCAGTTAATCAAAATGAGTGTTGTTCCTTTTAATAAATTCCATTAATTACTATTGAAAATGGTTAATAACAATTATAATTGAATAAAATTTAATAATAATATATTCAATAGATTTTAATCAGACAATGGTTTATTTGTTTGGAAAAGAAATGGGTTTTAATGGTCATTCCAAGTGTTCAGATAAAAAACTGATCTTTATTTGTTTATTTTTTAATGTTTTTCAATTTATATTATTATAAATTAATCATTTAACACAAAAAAGAAAATTTGAAGATTGGTATGCATTTCTATAGCCTATAATAAAGTAGATGTTAACTAATTAATTAATTTGGTTGATAATATTATAATTAAATAAATAAATAAACATTTTAATTCATTTACAGTATCATTTATACTTCACAGACTTTATTAAGCTGAACTTTACATTGGTATGAAAAGCAAATCGATTTCTATGTCTTGCTACTACTTATTACATCCATTTATATGCAACAGTAGGTCAATTTTGTCCTGTTTGTAGCTTATGATTATTCTAGATAATTTTCACTAGTCTAACTTACCATTCTTATTTTTTTAGGGCAGTCATTATTTGAACTAATATTTTTACATAAATAAATTTATAATATATTTTACATAAATATTGTTAGATAAATATTTCACTTTACTACTGAGATATATATGCACCATAGGTTCAATTATAACATTGATATGCAACAATATAAATAATAGTTATAAACATTATTGATATTAATAATGATATTAATAATTGAAGTAATTATTCACGTCTATCTAAATTTATTGTTAAACATTTATAAAAGATATACCACATATTGTTTTAAATAATTACATATTTTGTTACATATATATTTCTACTAGATCTGTAACAGCAGAGTTAATCAAAGAATTAAAATGTTAATGAAAAATTAAGAACTTATCATTATTTGATTTATAAAATGTCAATATTTTTATTCTTTGCTTGATAATAACCTGAAAAATATAAAAAACTATTAGATTAAATAAGTAATACATTTAATAGCTGAAGATTCATTAAAAATGTTGACTAGTACATAGAACGTTAATCTATAGATAACAGTATGCGTACTATAGTAAATTTCTTGTGGATTTGTCAAATGCCTTTCATTGTATAGATCACATCTTATTTCATACCTGTATATCTTATTAGAAAAATTATACACTATGAAATCAGAGGAATTATCTAATTGTACATAGTATAAACAACTTAAGATAGTAAAGACTATGAAATGATAATGCAATTTACTTCAGCAAAGTATCATATTAAGTCTGCTTGTCTTTCAAATATTATGACATATTTCTTTTTTTATAAATATTTGATATTAAATCTAGATAGACATAAATAATTTCTTGAGTTTGAATTTAACCATATTTCACCTTTAATATTAAAGCTATTTTAAAGTTTGAAAACAGTTGAAATTAATGCAAAATAAAAACACAAATAAAGAATAAAAATTCATACTTCATTAACTCAACTTGATTTTATTTAGAAAACTAATCAATAGTAGCATGATGAAGCAAATGCAGAATTATATTTATTTAATAAAAGCTGTTAAATTCTAGTTCACATTGTATTAGATGTATTAATATTACAAAAAATAACTTTGAGAATTTTAAAAGAAATATTGATAATGAAAAATATTTATAATGAAAAATATTATTTGAATAAACCCAACAAATTTTTTGAAGCATCGGTTATTTATACATATATTATTTGTCAGCTATGATAAAATAATTGCAAATTTATTCAGAATTTTTTTTATTTCTTCCTTTTGCCCGAAGTACTGTCGTGTTTCGTTTTACATTTTTATATTTTGTACTGTAAACCATTTTTTCCGATACATAAACATGCACACGCGCGCGCGCATACATATATATATATAATGTGCCTATGCTTGCGCAGACGCAATTTAATACATTTCTTATTTCAGAAGGCTGGCCATATTTGTAATATTATTTATACATTATATTTCTCAGTCTATGTATATTCCTTCTATTTCTTATACTGCATTTTATTTATTAACACTAACTTGTGACAACGCAGAAAAATCTGTTATCATTTTATGTATTAAATACATATTTTACAAGAATGGCTGCCCAATCCCTTCCCTACCTATATATAAATGTAAATATCGTATTTAGGTACCTTTTCTATAAAATAAAAAAATTCTTCTGTTACCAGACAAATGAAGGATAAAAGATAAGGAATAATTTAAATAATAAATAATAGAATCTGATATAATCGAGAAAAATTAATTATCGTGACCAAAACATAATAGAAAAATAACTTACAGGGTAGTACATTCCTTGTGCAGGAAGAAAAAAGGCTCCAGAACCCCACAGTTTGAGGCCGTTTTTCTCGACAACAAAAATAAATTTTTTGCTCAGGAACTATCTCGCTGTACGACCTTTTTCCTAAAGGGTTACTGATTTCTTACACTTTTTAATATAAAAAAATTTTTTTTACGTGTACGCATTAACTAATTTTGTCCTTTCAATAGTATTTTAATACTGTAACATTTAAGACACGCCGTTATTTAAACCTAATAGTATGCGTTTTAACTAGTGATACACGTGTTTCTCACCGAATGTTTACATTAGCAAGTAGCAAAAAAAAAACTTAGTCGATTAATAATAAGTAATAATATATGTTACTTTTACTAGTAAAGTTTTCTAAAGAATAACAAAAGGCATGGACTTATATTTTGAATTCATTCGTAATAATTTAGACAATTCTTCTAAACTTAATTTTTAATTTTTCATGTTAGAAAGACAAAACAAGCAAAATACGTATTGGTTATCGCAACTATATATATAAGTATAAAGCAACACTGTGCGTATTCTGAAAGCGACTGAATACTGTTAGCTATTAACTATTATTCTGCAAACATTAAGTTTAGTATGATCTGACTTGATCTGACCATCTTCAAGCCGGCCCTATACATGCGCCACCATCGGTAAATAGTGTAACCTCGTTCCTAGTTCAAAAAAAAAACTCTGATCACTTACAAGGGAACCACACCAACCCGACGTCACCGATTTGAATGATTTTGGGATATGTTGTAGTACTTGAAAAAAATTTAGACATCTGTTTTTTTTATCGGCCCATAAGGGCTTTTAAGGGGTGAAATCCACCCAGAAAATCAACCCCTAAAATCAGTTTTTTAAATATTTCTCAGCATAAAATGAATATTTTTTAGTAAACTCATCGTTGAAAAATTTCTTATAAAAAGGCTCTTTTAAAGACATAACATTTATACCGAAGGGTTGTAATCTCCTTTTTAATAAGGGTAAATACACTATTTTTTGTACTGTTTTACGACATTTAATATAGTGAATCGGCTCGAGTGATTTAAAAATCGCACTGATGATGAGAAAATACCAAAATTAAATTGACGTGTTTCCGGATTTAAAAAAAATATATTTAAGGGGTGTTTCACCCCCTAGAAAACACCCCCGTCAAACTTTCAGCAGGTTAATCCACCTGACCCTGGGAAACACGAGTTAAGTCGTTTGTTATTTCCTGAAATAATTTAATCCTACACCTGAGCGAGCTACCTCAACTAACCAACCTGCCTCTAACCCACCAAACCCCCATAAACCACCCTTACCCAACCAAATGTAGGCTAATAGACCTAACTTTGGGAGAATTGAGTTTATCAGTTGCTTTTTCTTAAAATAATTGATTTCTACACCGTATGTGGGGTATCCCATTTTTTTTTGATAAAATATATCTGTAGCTCAAACATAATTTATGAGAAATAATACATTTTATTTTAATAGTACCAAAATGGCGAGAAATATCTCTTAAAAATAAACACGAGAATAACACGAGGTCTAATTATCATTTATAGATCTATACATATATATTTATATTCGTATGTAGATACATAAATATATTTACGTAAGAGCCATCGTACGCGATACTACATATACTATATTTTGATTTTTCATAATAATTTTCATCTGTTTCTTTTTTTTATTTATTGGTAAATTAAAATGTATCATTAAACGAATTCCTTACAGACATGATAATCATCGAAAAAGTGTTTGAAACATAATGATCTTTTACACCAACCACACCGTATTATAGCAACATTTTTACACGCTTCTACTTCGCTATGTATATTGCAAGAATCTCCAAAACTAAAATCTACAGGGTTATCTGTTTTAGCTGGTTTTTCAGCAATGTAGCCGGTTTTATACCAAGCGTATTTAAAAATATTTGTATATCTTGGTGAAGAAAGCTGGTTATGGACAAGAGACTGCATTTTTATTATGTTATTTCTTAAATGTAGATTCATTTCATAGTCCATCAAAATTACTTGATCTGATAAACGTCGAAAGAAGTTTTTCCAGATACGAAATCCATAAACATCGAGTAGTTGGATGTTCCCTGTTGTTCCTGTGGGAATTTTTTTTTATATTAACAATTTTTTTTGTCGGCATTGTTTCCCTTACAGCTTTATCGCAATGTCCACTCCAAGAGTCGAGTAAAAGTACAGATTGAGGTCCAACATTTGGGTAAAAAACTTCTTTCAACCAAATTTAAAAATAATCTAAAATAAAAAAATTTCAAAATTCTTTATGTCATTGCATTATAATAAACAAAAATATACTAACTTGTCGTTAATTTTCCAGATTTAGATGCTTCCACATGCACATTTTCTGGTCTAAATAATGAAGATTCCACTATGGGACCGAATTGACCACTTTTTTCTTTTAATACTATAATAAAAAGTGGTGATAAAAGTTTCTCGGTTGCTGATGTAGTTGGCTAAATTGTATAACTGTGCGTTGTCGATGAAACCGACTGTACCAGACATTGCACCTGCTTTTCTCCTTCAATTACTAATGTTCTTCCCGAATGTATTTCTAATTGGAAACCACTCTGATCTGAATTATAAAAGTTTGCAATGCCGATTTCTGGTATACGAGTACATGATTTAACATCAGCTACAAAAGCATCAACATTAGTTTGTAGTTCTTCTTTACATTCTAATGTTTTTTTGGTGATAAATTTATTTTTTTTTTACCATTCTATGAGCTTTTTTAAATTTTAGAAACCAATTTTTAGAAGCCTTAAATCTTATATCTTCATGGCCAACAATTTTTTGAGCTTGCAATGCCCATTTCCATATATCTCGATCATGCACTATCGTACCACCTGCATTAGCGGCTTTTAAATTATCAAACGTGTATTGGTAAATTTGCGCAATTTTTTCTCGGTAAGTTCCATTTTTATTAACTATTTTCGCCCAACGTTTAAGTTGACTTATAGATGAAACTTTTTTGAATCTATGTTGTACAGTATCCACTTTAAAGTTTTTGTTTTTTCCGTTTCTCCAAAATTCTTCGGCTCTTTGTTTATAATCAAATGTGATTTCTTCATCATCATTTGTGCACTGATTTGTTGGTGCAAAATCAGGATCAGGAAAGTGATGTTGAACTTCATCTTCGATTATTTTAGCATCAGTACCTTTATAATCTTCATGAAAATCTAACGTCTCTTCAACAATCATATCAATATCATTAAACTCATACATGGCATCTATTAATATTTCTTTCAACTTTTCTGACAATTTAATTTCTTTGAAATTAATCTCGCTATCTGGTATTTGTAAACTTTGAAAATATGCTAATAATAAATTGACTACGTTTAAAGGATTGATCTTCATGTTTTAACCTAAAATAAAATCAAGATATAAATACTCTTTTTTGCAGTTGAATAATTTTACAAAAGACAAAAGAAAACCTAGTCTATAGATAGAATTCGATCATACGTTTTTAACAGTTATATTTCACATGTTTACAAATCAAAATATTTGAATAAAATTATATATGATAAGTGACATAAATACTTACGTAGTAGACAAAAACTTGTCTTCTTGTTACGTACTATATTTTCGTGTTCGGGAAATTTGTATGTAAATATAGAAATAAGTTTATTTATAAATTCAGCGCTATAAAAAAACTTTAACTTTTTAAATACTTGACTTTTCTTCAACTACTATGAATAATGAAATATGTATCGGATGTCTTATTATCGTAAGGGACGTAAATTTGATAAAACTTATCTTTTTCGAGCCATTGATAAGATAAAATTGTAAATAAGATAAAGTGTACAGCAAAGTAAAGTACCAACAAAAAGTAAACTAAACCACAAGTGAAAATTGAAAAAAGTTAACAGTTTATAAGTGTAGGAATTGAAACTATAATAACTATTTATAACTATTAATATAATCAATTATTTGTTATAATTTCTTTTCTCATTGACAAATTGTAAATGATTAAAAAAGAAATAATAACTATATTAAACTTCCACTTTTGAAATTAATAATTTTTAACTGTTATTACTTGTTATTTTTCTTTATTACGAATTCACTTTACGTTTAAAAAATAATAAATATTATTATTACTCTTTTATAGACAGCTATATGTAATACAATGCAAATAATATTAAAAAAAAACTGATACTATAGCAGTTTGCAACGATTGCCGAAAATCGTAGGACTCGCGCGAGGTAATGAGCGGCTAAGCGAGGTGAGCCGCGTTCGGTTCGCGAGAGAGAGAGCGCGTAAGGGGCAATGACCGGGAGGGGAGGCTCCGAGCGCTAGTATGACTGTGCCACTCAGTCAGTTCGTGCGCCTAACCTCCGTATTTCCGTGCCGTCCGAGTTTTGTTTTGGTTTGCCACTGACACTGTGACTTGCGCGGGTGAGTGCTTGCGACAGCAGCATCAGCAGCAGCAGCAGCAATAGCAGCCGCAACAACTGCAGTAGCAACAGCAGCAACAGCAATAACAGCAGCATCAGTAGCGGCAACAACAGCAGCGGCAACAGCATTAGAGGCAGCACAGCGGAGCAGCTTAGTACAGCGAGTTATTCGGATACGGTTGGCCACCGTATCCACGCCGTCGTTGCGGTAGGTGCACCTTCTTTCCCCTTTTTGACTGTTGTAACGATTTGGCGTGCGAATCCGCGCAGCGAGCGCGAAGAATTTGTTTATCGCGTGCGAGCAGGTAGTTCGCGACAATCGTGGTTTTTCCTCTCTCTCTCGATTAGCGTGTGTTGTCATTCACGCGTGCGTGCGTGAGTCTCTCGGCCAATTCCCCGTGTAATATAATTAGCTGAATAAAGAGCATCTTAATCGTTATATTCGAGTTGAACAGTCGTTATTTTGTCATTCCTTTATCCGGAGGTCGCGCCAGTGTTTATTTTCAGGAGATTCGAATTCGCCGGTTGCGAAGCACGAATCGTGCGAGTATCACTAGACGCGAGTCACTAACCTAGGTTCCAGTGGCGGCCGCACGAGCGCTACTAGTAAGAGCGACAGCGCCGCCAAGTGGCGAGTTGGGGGAACCCAACTCGGAAAAGTAAAAGACTCTGCGCAGGCGCACTTCGGGGCAAGGTAGGTCACTGTGCTTCGAGCACATAGATAACAAGGCGTCGTTTAGTCGCATTTAAGGGTACGTTTGCGGGATTTCAGACTAAATGGCAGCCTGTTACAAGTTATTATTAATTTCGAAAAAACGAAATAGTTAATAATTATTTATAATTTATTTCAGTCTCAAATCTTATATTTATAAGCCGCTATTAATTATTTTTATCTTTTTTGTATTTATAATGAAACGAAAATAATAATTATTACATAAAATTTGTAATACTTGGGAAATATTGTTACGCAACATAAATGTTATTCAAGAAATACATTTATTTTTCGCTATTTATATAAGGTTAGCCCGTATGTTGTTCGGTAAGGGTGGTTTATAAGGGTGGGAGTTAGATAGGTTAGGGGTAGGTGGATAAGAGATGTGTTATACAGCTGGGATAACTCGCT